CTAAGCAACAGGAGAGAACATATGATATTTTGGTGTCATCTTACATCTGCATGCACTTTCCCATTGAATGAGAGGGAAGTGCACTGGCTTAGATCCCATGTCTATTTTACTTCAATGTCATAAATATCTAGTGCCCCCACGTATGACTTAGACTAAGCAACAGGAGAGAACATATGATATTTTGGTGTCATCTTACATCTGCATGCACTTTCCCATTGAATGAGAGGGAAGTGCACTGGCTTAGATCCCATGTCTATTTTACTTCAATGTCATAAATATCTAGTGCCCCCACGTATGACTTAGACTAAGCAACAGGAGAGAACATATGATATTTTGGTGTCATCTTACATCTGCATGCACTTTCCCATTGAATGAGAGGGAAGTGCACTGGCTTAGATCCCATGTCTATTTTACTTCAATGTCATAAATATCTAGTGCCCCCACGTATGACTTAGAGAATAGTTTAGTGCCAGTAAGATGAAAATGCAACTATATAAACACTCAACATCCTCTGCATTTACTATAACTCATTGTTCAACTTACAGGATACCAAAAATCTAATAATATGGTTGCTTATTGCAAAGAAAATATGTTGTTTTTTGTTGGATTTCTAGTAAATGGAGCCATCTTGGGCATGGCTTCACTGACTGTAGATTATTATACATCCACTTGCCCACCAGCTGAAATTATGGTGAAGAACATAGTGTATCAAGCATTGAGAAGCGATTCAACTGCCTCGGCAGGGCTATTGAGGATGCATTTCCATGATTGCTTTGTTGAGGTGGGTGTATGTTTGCATTCTTATTGTTAAAAGTCCAAAGTTATGGTGAAGGTTGAGGGTTATAATTTTATAGTCTAACATGTCCTAGAAGGTTGAGTGCCCTTTTCATGGATAATCGAAATCTACACTCATGCAATAGTATCTTTTTTTATTCGCTTTAAATTTGTGGCCAATGGGATTCAAACCTGGGTTGCTCTCATACTATGTTTTCCACTTCTCCAAAGCTCCAAACTCATAGTGAGGGTCGAGCATTATAATTTTATAGTCAACACAATAAATTGACTTTTGCACGAAATAAGACTTTCTAATAACTTTTTGCTAAATTCCTTGATTGCATTTTGATCATATAATGGATCATGAGTTATCGTTATTGTGAGTTATCATTTAATTCAGTAAACTCTTGGATTCCTATTTCTCAATTTTGTTTTGGTAACTTTAACTCGTTACATATGCCCAAGATGTATGACATCGTAATTGGAGTTGGAAGATTTTACTTTCTAATTACACCCTCTTCTTGCTTTTGTCTAGGGTTGTGATGGATCAGTTCTTATTGATTCCACAGCGGATAATACGGCAGAGAAAGATTCTCCTCCAAATCAAAGCCTACATGGGTTTGAGATCATCGATCAAGCAAAGCAAGTGATCGAAAGAATCTGCCCAGGAGTTGTCAGTTGTGCTGATATCCTCACTATGGCAGCCAGAGATGCAGTTGCTTGGGTATTTAGAATTTTCCTCTTTTATCAAAATAATTTTCGATTTGAACATTTAGTACCATGGTGAAAGCATTTACAGATGCCAGTTTTGCTGAAAACTGCTGGTGTATGATATGATTTTGATGATACGTAGGCTGGGGGTCCATCATATGATGTACCAAAAGGAAGAAAAGATGGAAGGAGATCTAAAATTGAAGATACAAGCAGTCTTCCTCCACCCTCTCTCAATAGTACAAAACTCATTGAGCTCTTTGGTCAGAGTGGTTTTACTGCGCAGGAAGTGGTTACCTTAGCTGGTAAAGTGACTTTGTTTCTTAGAAAACTTAATTTCAAATTTCGAGAACATAATTGCACCAAATAAGTTATATATTTATTATAGCTGTTAGTATTTCAGGAAACATTAGTTATTTGTAGAAATCTGAAATTCGGCAAATCTGATTGGTGGGTATAGGAAACAATTGTGTAAAGAATTCCTGCAGCAAAATAGAAACGTAAACATAAAAAGAGGAATTCCTCCTTGAATAAGATGCAATAGGTGTCCTAATTATAGAAAGATTCTTCTTTCAGTATCTAATGGTGCTCAAAATTATTCTAAGAGGATCAAGTAATTCATAATTATTTGAAACGTTCACATAATTCATGAACTATTCAAAGCATTCAAAACTAATATGAGCAATCTGATAAATCATTAATCAATGAGGTTATTGATGTTACTGCTGCTGTAACTTTTTTCCTGATGCATATCTCTACGAAAAACATACAAAGTACCAGCTTCATATATGTTTTTTTAACTCTATCTTATTATGAATTTACTTTTAATCAATATTAGAATTTGCTGATTTTCCACTAAAGAAGTCATCATCCATTTTTTGAGTTCACCCTTTAATCCATATCTACATCTATTGCATACTAACGCTAATTAAACTACAAGCCCTATACTGCTTTGGTACTGTCAAACATCTTGTGGATTGCAATGATGGTCCATGCCTCTTTATTTTTACTATAACAATAACAAAACACTATGAGATATATAGTACAGTCAGTATTATTCTCTTAGAGTGTGTTTGGCAACAGAAAGTAAATGGAAACTGGACACAAATACTTTCTTTATAAACCTATAGTTTTCTGTTTACAATTCTCATTTGGATGATAAAAAGTGAGAAGGTAGAAAGTTTAGGTGGCATTAGATCAGTAGTAATTCTTTACCCGTACCAGCCAAAGAACTGTCACTGCACCATAACTCTAAAGTCGTGCTGAGTGTTGAGGGTTATAATTGTATAGTGTAATATGCTCCGGCGGATTGAAGACTCTTTTATGGACAGAAACCTGGGCTGACAGAGTAGTATTAATTTTTTTTTCTAAAATCCTAATATAAATTCGCGATCAGCATAGGTTGCTCTGGTACCATGTCAAAGGACGACCCTTCCACTACATCAAAACTCCAAAGTTATGATGAATATTGAGAGTTATAATTTTATAGTCTAACAACACCATTTGGTCATTATGAAAAGTTAATAGTAGAAAACTGAAAGTGTGGTGAGGGAATAAAATATTAATTTCTCTCTCCTCTCATTCACTTTCCGTACCCTTTCTTAAAACATTTGAGAAGGTGAAAGAGCTTTAAAAAGCTGACATGCAATCCAATTTCTATGTGCTTTGCATCACTTTCCAAATGTTAACATGGAAAAATAGAGAACGGAGCCATTCTCCAATTTCTAATCCACTTTCTTATTCGTTGTCTAGTTCAGGTGCTCACACCTTAGGCGTCGCTCAATGCAAGTTCTTCAAAAACCGCCTCAGAGGCTTCGACTCCACCAATGACGTCGACCCCACCCTAAATCCAAACTTCGCAAACATGTTATCAAGCGTTTGCAGCTCCGGCGACAGCACGAATGTATCATTGGACTGGACTAGTGATTCATTTGACAATCGCTACTTCATTGCATTGCAAATGGGAGGAGGAGTGCTTACTTCTGATCAAACATTGTTCACTAGTCCAGAAACAAAAGAGGTAGTTAGTACTTATGCAATGAGTCAGGATAAGTTCTTCTTTGATTTCTCTCAGGTGATAGTGAAGCTTGGGATGCTCAACGTTAAAGAGGGGGATGAAGGAGAAGTCAGATTGGATTGTCGTAAAATTAATTAACTGGATGTATGGAGGAGATAGAGGAGAATATGAATGTAAAATTATCAGGCTGGGATAAGAAGCATTCGAGTTTAGAGATATGTTTGTTGCGCATTGAGTGTGCATGTAGTTAACTTGATCTAAATCAAATAAATGCGGCTTGATATCATCTAATGTGTGTTTCCTGCTGTTTTTGCCAGAAGGGCTCAGCAAATGGTCAGTTAGGTTGGTTTTGACCTTTTTTTTTTTAACTGAACTGAACAGATCTAGATTAAAAACTGAACTGAACCAATCCAAGTCGGTTCAGTGCAGTGCGGTTCAGGTTGTTCAGTTTGAGCCTAGGCATGTCAAGTAGGAGCAATATAGCTAAAGCTCAGCACTCTTGCTTCCTCGAATCTTCCATTCAACTAGTATCTAATTTTATGAGCAAACTCGTCAAATCAACTGCTTCTACAAACTAAAATTAAAATTTTAGCCATAAAGATATATGAAAATATTAGTTAAAAGGAAATGCGTGAGTTACAAATATATTGAGATTGGCGGTTTGGTTATTTAGGTTTCAAATATTTAGAAACCAAAACGAACCAATTTTTTTTAAAACCAAACATGAACCGCCAAATTTCAGTTAGCTTGGTGGATTAAATTGATTTCCACTTATTTATGCTCACCCCTATTTTTAGGCTAGATTTTTGCAGAATCCCAGAACTTTAGGGGTTTTGCACACACAAAAAAAAAAACTTTGGAACTCTAGAGATCAGGAAAAAAAACTCTGAACTTACAGAATTTTACTACACCTCTATAAACTATTTAGGAATCTCATAATCATTGCTTACATGTGGAAGAAAAGTCTAAAAATGTTACATTGTTGTTAGTTTTTTCCCCTCTCATGTTAATATCCTTCATTCAAAATTTTCACCACAAATTTGGATTTGTCACAAGCTAGTAGAATTTTAAATTTAAGAAGGATTTTTCTTGTCCCCTCCCCTGCCCTTCAGGCCCCATGCTAAGTTTAGGGTATTGTGAATCTTTTTACTTTTTAGTCCTATGGTTTTTTTTTCTTTTTTCTTTGGGAAAATTGTGTCAAGACCACAAATTCCAACTTTCAATGTACCCCAGCCCCCCATATTTTTTAATGTACTACAGCCCTTTCTTTTTAAAAAAATTGTGTTCAGGCCCCTCCATCATGATTTCAGCTCATGTCAGCGGATGATTAGACATGTCATCTCATGATTAGACATGCCAGCTGGCTTAAATCTCAAATTTACCCTTCTCTTTCTCATGCCAGCAGATATTAACTCTTACAGTTAATATGTTAACTCTTACAGATAACATGTTAACTATTAATAGTTAACATGTTATCTGTAAGAGTTAACATGTTAACTGTAAGAGTTAACATGTTAACATGATAACCATGACCGCCGCCGCCCACGCGAAGTTCCTCGGGAATGCGCCAACGGCGGAGCGGGGGAGGGAGGTGTGGGAGGGGGCAGAGGGGGACCGTAGTGTTGGCATTCTTGTTTTGATGATGTTTAACAAACAATTTACTTCTAATATTATTTGTCTAGTGTTTGTGTTTTCGTATTTATTCTAGACAAACAACGAGTTGGATGATGGATGGAATTGCGTATTCACGATCATATCAAATGGAGGTTGGCGGAATAGTGGAGTGAAGCCTTGCTATCAAGTTAAAGATCCAATTACAAGCTTCATCCTAGTTTACCAAGTTGAGCTACAATGAAGATCAAGATCAAGCTTGGATAACATTTAGTTTAGGAGTTTATATTATGTGTGTTAGTACTTCAAGCTCAATCATATACACACATACACGTTTTGGTTTTGTATATATATAGTTATATTTATACATATATGTTTTGGTTTGTTAGCTTTCAAGTTTTAATATGAAACAATTTAATATAATTAGAAAACATATTTTTGTTTCATACTTATATGCATATATATGATTTCATCAATATCAATTTAATTTAGTTCAATGAAATCATGTTTTAGTGCATTATATGTGTATTTTGATAAAATATTACATTCATTGTTTATAGACTTCATAACAATAGTTTACATCTTTCTTCAAGTCTATAAAATCATTTTGCAAAGTTTCAAAAGTTGGTTTAGGTCAAAACATCAAACTCATGTGTTTACATTTTCATGTTTTGGACTATTTTGCAAAATAATGATATCCAGAGACTTTCGCAGTCGACCGTCTAGGTTGACCGTCGCTTGTCCAGAACCATAGATCTGTTTTTTGTTTCTCGCGGTCGACCGCCGCACTATCATATCAGTTCTAACGGCTAGTTTCCAGAGCCGTTGCTGAGTTGGTTTTTTGGTCTTTTTTTGGTTTTCTCTTGGCTTTGGGGTTTCATATAAATACCCCCTTATACCTCAGTTCTTATAGATCCAAGAAGTTTTTAAAACAAGAGTTTAACAAGTGTTTAAGTGTTGTTTAAGTTTGTTTAATAAGCTTTTAAGCATTTGAGTGTTTCGGTTTTGTGAATCAATTCCACAAGAGCTTAAGGAGATCATCTATTGAAGTTTGAGCTTCCAACTATTCTCTCTCTACCTCTTGATCTATTGAGAAGTTTTCTAACTCTTTTCTCTAGTAATTTTATTATTGATTTTCATATTCTTATTATTTCTAGTTTGCTATTTGAGTTAGATTTGATTTTATCTCATTGTTACACACACCCACTTGAGCTTATTGTATTTGCATTCATAATATATTTGGGGTTGGTGAGAGTTGTAACAATTGAGTGTGAGTTTTTATTATGTTTTCATCCATAGTAGAGAACAAACATTTATTGTATTGAGCCTTATTGTGAGATTCACTTTGTAATACACTTGTACACCGAGAGAAGTGTGTGACGAGAGTCGGGGATCATCCCAAGAGGAGTGGCGTCGGTTGACGAACCTAGGAAAAGGTTGTAACCGAGCACTTGAGGGAGACACGTCTAGTTCAACACTTAAGAGGGTGTAGAGTGCGATTGCAAGAGTGGTGATTGTAAAGTTTTCGGTTAGCTAGAAAACCGAGTGTGAGGTGTAAACGTTATTCGGATGAATGTAGAAAACCCGGTTGTGATAGTGGATTTCTCCCCGGGAGTGGGGAGCAGAGACGTAGGACAAAAGGTCCGAACTCCGTGATCATATTGTGTGTTTTCATTGTTTATTTTACACTATCACATTTGTAGTTTGATTATATCACCTTTGTGTTAGTTTATATATCCTTGCACATATATTTCTTATATCTCATTGCTAGGATATTTCTTGTTATTCATATTGCTTATCCTAGCTCATATTTCTTGTTGTATTTCATACTTGCTAGGATAACTTATTATTAGTTTTAATTGGCATAAAATCGGATTAGATTAGCATAAGACTCTAATCACCCCCCTAGGGTCTAACACGTAGGAGGAGGAGGGAGGTGTAAGGAGAGGTGCAGCGGGGGAGGGAGGTAGGGGAGGGGAGGGCGGCACATTGTTGAAAGTTAGGGGGGGTTGGGGCACATTGAAAATTAAAGTTTGGGGGCTTGAAGCAATTTTCCCTTTTTCTTTTGGGAGAGTCAATATAATTTTGAAAGTTCAGAAGGATTTTCTCTTATTCATAAAATTCAATGGGGGCTTATATATCAGAAAATTGTTCATAAGATGACAACGTAGATATAATCTAAGGAAGCACATTAAAAACTATGTTATACACAAGCAATTTACTTGATTGACTCTGTTTATTTTGATTTATATGTTTTGAATCATATATAAATAAAAAATTAGGCATATTGCACTATCGTTTCTCATGCATCAAATGTTTATAAAATTAATAGTTTTATAATAATACAACTAAAAAGATAATAAAAAATATGTGTTAGAAATATTAAAATATTATGATTTTTGTTTTATAAATATTACAAGACATTTAGATCACAATGGGTGGAGCGAATTATCCATAACAATAGTCTAATCCATGCATCAAAAGATGCTTCCTTAGATTGTATCTAAGGTATCACTTAATGAACACTTTTCCCTTTATATAAACAATAAAATCTAGAATTTGTATCAACTACAAATGTCATAATGTCAAAATTCATTAAAAAAAAGTCTATCCATCAATACTACTATATAATGAACCGTAGTGTGGATAGCAAAAGTTAGATGAGTGATGGACATTTTCCTCATGTCCTTTCTTTTCATTCTTATTTCTAGAAGATTTTAAGTCATGGCGTGAGAATGGAATTTGTTCGCATAATTAAGTTTGTAATTTTTCAAGAGAAACATTTATTTTCTTTCTTTTCTTTTTTTCTTTTTTTATTTCTAGAAAATTCTAAATCATGAAATGATAATGCACACATAATTAAATTCCAATATCCTCATTTTCCTTTCTATTTTTGATCACTTACTCAAATTATGTTATCCTCAATTAGGAAAGTACTAAACAAAATTATGTTAATGATAGATTTAACTGATAAATAATAGTTTAAGATATATTTTCTATTTAGAGCTCCATAGTAAAATTGCATAAATTAAATCATCTTCAAACTTTTAGATAAAAACGTGAGACTAATCATATAACTGAATATTTTTGCATGTGCATTGCACGTGCCAACATGCTAGTTTCTTATAATGGTAAGAAATTATTCATCCAAAATTACCTCATTAAAAAGGGAAAAAGGAATAAAAATACTTACGAAAAGGAAAAGACTTCTTTCGGAAAAAAAAAACTCACATAGGTTATCCAGAAGGATGGGAAATGAATGGGCAGAGAAAAAACACAAAAAACCACGGGGGAAAAAACAGTATAAAACATCAATATTTTAAAGAAGAATGTTTCTCATTAGTCCAGAACCTTCTTTCAATTTCCCAGATACCCATGGCAATCCTATATACTAGTATGATACCAACAGTTCAAGCTCGCAATTTTACTCACTCTAAATCCTCCAGCTCTTCATTTCTCTCAATTTCGTCTAAACCCAATTCGGGAAGAAGCAGCAGAAGCTTGAGAATCAGAGCAGAGACGATGGAGATTGAGAAATTAGGCATCAAAGTTGAAAGAAACCCTCCAGAGTCCAAGCTCGCTGAGCTCGGCGTTAGAAACTGGCCCAAGTAAGGATTTTCCTCCATTTTGCTTGAATTTTGGTGTTGGGTCTCTTTTTCTGGGTCATTTTGGGTGACCCACTTAGATTTTGTTCTTGGATCTTGGTGTTTGTGATGTGGGTTTAGGGTTGTCTGGTTTGTTTTTTGTTTGGAGTTTAGCCTAAGGAAATAGTAAATGCATACAGAACTGGAGATATCTTTATTATAATATTAGAATTTTCAAGAGAAATCATGATTTATTGCATGTTGTATAAACTATTGTTTGGACAATAGATTTCACCCTAAAAGAAGCTATTTTAGCATGTCTGTATAGTTCTTTTCCTGCTAGTTTGATTTTATTTAGTTGGTATTATATTTTTAGGATGAATAATGTTTATTGTTGGTTTGAGGGATGTAAATGTAAATAGGTGATTGTGTAGAAGGAAGCAAGCGAGGCGGTTTTTAGCTGTGATAAGAGAACGAATGCATACTTGTGGTAAAGTGTCATAAGACCGGGGTATTAGGAGGAGAGGAACTTGATATGATAAGTTTCAGGAGGATCCTTTACTTGAATCATTAATGTGTGTATTATTTGTTGTGTCATTGTCGATCATGTAAAGAGGGTGTTATTAGTTAGGATAGATTGAGAACTTTGTGGTCTGAATGCTCGATACTCAAAATTCTTGTAGTAAATAAATAAAGGCAGACATGTTTTAACTTCTCATTGTGCCCGCGCAAGTGTAGACATGATGGACATAACATGACGAAGTCTATGAGTAGAAGGGAGAAATTTTATCACCTAAGTTGGGTTTCCCTTGAGAAGTTGCTGGTGGATATGTATTTCAATCTGTGCGGATGTTTTTTTCACTTGCTCATCTGCTAGATTGTGATGTCAAAATTAAGGACGGTGAGGACGAATGGCTTGTCTTTTCCCCTTTTATAATATTTCACCGTAGACAATCATCGCTCGCCTTGCGTTGAGCGTGAGACATCTGCTCATTCAAAGAAAGTTTAACTAAACTAAAAAAACGAAAGAAGCCCACTACCCACTCTTCTTTCCCAATTGCCCAAGCAGATCTAATTCTACGAATTAGCCTCATAGAGCCTTCCCTTTCAAGGGTCTCCTCTCGAAGCAACTCTAAACTACTTTCGAAACGAGTTGTCAACAGAATGCATTTCCACGTGTGTTCCCTCTTTATAGACTTGGTAACTGATAACCAATTTCACCGCAATGGCGATCTTCCATAAGATAAAACTTCTTTGTTATTTTTCTTTTTTATAAATTAGTCATTTCATATCATCATTTTTGAAAAATGAAGATGTCAAACAGACCATTCGTGGGGGGTCATGGAAGAACTTGGTTTGAGGAGAGTTAATACCTCTTGTATTGAACCCTTGTCGAATTTGATTGGATCTAGGTCTTTCTCATCAACGGTCCATTGATTTAGTTGTCTTCTCCAACAATTGAAGATTGGTTAAAAGACCAAACACTGGTATTTTTAGAGAAAGTTTACATGTTTTCCCTCTGTTCAGCAAGAGTAAAAAAGTAGAGAGTGAAGACTCGAAACAATAATTGCACAGGAGAAAATGCGGAATTCCTTCCCTTTTCCTCCACAAACAGAGAGAGGCATAGAACTGATGTAGGAAAGAAAACCATACATGCAGGCCCCAAACCACTGACACAGTGAAAACCAAAAATCCTGTGGAAGGATTTCCTTTGGAGGCTCGACATATGAAAGCTTATTTTAGTTTATTCTTTTTATGCTATCATATATGAGATTAACTTTAAATAAGCATATTTCTATAACTGAAACTCCTAACTTGAATTTTATCTCCAACTACAAATTTTGCAGCATCAGAATTCAGAATTCAGAATTCATACTAGTAATAAATTTCAAAAGAGTTCCATAAGTTAATTTGAAGAGACTACGAAAGTAATTCCTTTTAACTAAACTTTCTGTAAGTACGTCTTGTGAACTAATGCTACATGCTTGAATGAAAAATACCATGCTCACAATTTCAGAGCGCTAAAACATGGGTAGATACTTGTGGAACCATGGGCTTCTTTTGGGAGTAAAATTCACGGAACTACTGTTAACCTCTGGGGAGTTATCAAAATGGTAGATACATGTAGAATCATGGTAGGTTTTTTTGGGTAAATTTCGAGGAGAATTGCACAAACGGCCATAACTTTTATATCAGGGAAAACTACAATGAAGAACTTTTCCACTAAACTACCATGTCGCTGGTCATTAGCCAGGGTTAGTTTTCATGTGCAAACACATGACATGTTTTGATCTATTTTTTCCCATATATACTTTATATATGTGTTGTATATTACCCTTCTTCCCCTCCTCTTTTCAAGGTGGTTTACACCTTATGTCCAAGCTGTTGACACCGTTGGCAATAAAATTTTCATGATACCTTTTTAAAAGTTCATGATAGCCTTCCCTTAATAATCAAAGAAGTTTATGATAGTTCCGTGAGTGCAAACCCCCTCAACATTCATGGTAGTTCTGTGAAACTTATACTCTTTGTCATTCTCGCCTTGTTATCTGCAAGGTTGCTATGTAATGGAAACAAGATCAGAAGTACAATTGATGATGTGTTACTGGTGTGATTTTTGGCGTATGTAGGTGGGGTTGTCCTCCAAGCAAGTTTCCATGGACATACACAGCGAAAGAGAAGTGCTACCTTCTCGAAGGCAAAGTCAAAGTGTATCCACAGGGCCATGGCAACGAGTACGTAGAGATCGGAGCAGGAGATTTCGTCGAATTCCCCAAAGGCATGAACTGTACATGGGATGTCTCTGTTGCTGTGGACAAGCACTACATGTTTGAATGATGTTCCCCCCATTCGGAGTTTAATTTGATCCAGGTTGAAGCTGATTAATCATGCATAAATGAGTCTAGATTAGGATTGGAGATGATTAACGGTGCCAGATTGGATCAAGCGCAATTCTGCATGATGGTTTCTTTTCCCTGTATTTGAAGTGTCACCTTGGAGTGATTTTGGTTTTCTTACCGCTTAGCTCTGTAAGTGTAGTTTGTGGTGTTCTAGACTTTTGCATGTGTAACGTACTTTTCCGAAAGTGTAATTCCAATTGAAGTTTCTTAAGCAAATAAGTTACTGTCTTCTGAGCAGCGGCGAATGGTTTGGCTCAAACGTTAGTCGCCGTGTTTACTTAGATAGTGATTCACTTTTTGCTATGTTATTGTCAGTGATGCTCCGATAAGATCCATTTCGCATCATATCTAACGAGTTCTTTGGTTCGGACCGAAGAAGTAATGTCACACTCTCTAATAGATTTGTCTCATGTTACAAACCTCCAAGCTATAAACTCTTAATATTAAAGCACTCTCTAATAGATCCATCTCATGTTACAAATCTCCAAGTCCAAGCGATAGATCGAGCTATCTACTTTTAATCCAGAAAAATATATGATACAACGGGGTGACTTTCCCGAACATGACATTTACATTGGTGAAAGGATAATAATATATGGATTGTTTTCATGTTAAATTGTGGGTTAAACAGCACTTAAATATCCTACTGCTTCACGACCTTTACACTAAAATACTCTTAAGTTGTAAAATGTAGCACATAAATACCCTAAGTTATCCACTGTTAGAATATGTTAAACACCGTTAAAAACCCCGTTATGACCAAAATACCCTCTATAAAAATTTAATAAAAAGATGAAGGTTATGTATAATGGGAAATATGACGATAGATAGGATCAAGACAAAAAATGCTATGTACTAATCACTCTGGAATATTTCTAGAAATATTCTCACATGCAACTAACAAAAGGTACTTGTTGATGTCTAATATCAAACAGGTAAATGAAAGGAGTGATTAACAGAGGTCCTCTAATCCTCCGAATGTCTGGTTCTGGAATAAGCTGTTCTTTTCTGCACAAATAGCAAATCGTAAAATGGTAGGGTTGGGTTCCCCGGTTGTTCCTCTGACGATCAAGTCAATAATTTGCTTGAGTGGAGAAGTAAAATAAACTACAGTGGTTCTCAAGCACAATGAGTAGTAGTAAAGAACTTATCTTGATATAGAGAATAGTTTCCTTATTTATAGCAAAAATTTTGGGATAGTTTGATAACTCAGGCCGGTATAGGCGTGTGGCTGATTCAGCATAGGCTTTATAGGTGTCGGCTGACATATGGAGGAGAGGTCATTTCGGTATTTAATGTGAAGTGATTGGAGGTGTGCAGTGCCGACGTGGTCCAATGTGTCTTAAAGTCTGTTGAGGGCAGGGGAATGATGGCGCCGATTATACATTTAATTGAATTGCATTTAATGCGAGGTGATCAGATGCCAGCGTGCGGGAAGGAGCTCGAGGCTCGAGGTACTTTGTCGCCTTCCAACTCGTCTGGAGGTTGATAAAAATCGCCTTTCGAGTCGCCTTCGCGAGATGTCGCCTTCGCGAGATGTCGCCTTCGCGAGATGTCGCCTTCCAACTCGTCTGGAGGTTGATAAACATCGCCTTTCGAGCGCCTTCGCGAGATGTCCTCCCAAAGGTCGGGCGAGGAGGTCGATAAGGGAATCGACCAAGCCTTGGGTCGACATGCAGCGCTTTTTGAGTCGTCCTCGCAAGATGTCGACATGTTAAGTCGTCCGGACTGGGCCTTGGATTATCTTGAAGTGAGGAGCTAGCTTGATTACGCAAAGTGTGGGACACTTGTCTACTCTTAATTAGAGATTTCTTATCAGCACTAGAATAGCTATAACAATACTAATGTATCAGTTTTTTTACAACGTAGAATATTAAAATGCTACTTTTATAGCTTACTAAGTGTGAAGATGAAACAATAGGGTATTTAAGTGCCATTGTTGAGGACTACTAATCCTGAGACACTAAATAGAGGAACAAAGGATGCAAAACCGCACGAGATACTGTTAATGCCTCACCTGTATTCCCGATTCGTTATACTGAAAAGGATCGAAATCACCTGAGTACCCCCAACAAGGTGATATTCACAAGAGTTCCTCTCAAATAAGGTATAAAACATTCTCAATGGGAATACTGACGGCAGAACTTTACACCTTTTTTAGATTATGAACATGATATGCAAGTAAACAACAAATCACAAAGTCTAGGAAAAGTATGCCTTACAATTGTTGAGAAATACCAATGTTTTCAGATCAATATCATACAAGCACCCTTCATTCGAGGAAGCCATTAACTACATTCATCAACCTTCAAGCCATAGTCCTCGAGAATTAAAACATTTTCTGAATCACTATATATGTTACCTGAACAACTGTCTACCAGTATCCGTCTCCTTCATACGAAAAGTGTGCGGACTCCAGCTTCCTATCCGAGATTCTCTTGAACTTTGTAATGATCTTCGTATCACACCCTCCATTTGTTGGCAACTGATCGCATTTATTATTATTATTTATCATTATTTCCATTTTCCTTCAGGCATTCATCGACCTTGGATGGAACAGTGAACTTGGAGACTAGGCAACGGACTGGCTTTATCAGGGGGATATAACTACATCACATTTACACATCATCACATAATTCATACATTTCAGAGGACTTGGTGACATAATTACAAGCTCATGGCTCTCGAAGAAATCTCAGATTCCACTTCTACTTCCCCTTCAGGTCCCTCCACTGTAACCTGCAAACACCGGCACAGACGAACTTTGTTAGGAAGTATACACTCACAATTTTCGTTAAAAAATTCATATTTTAACTCTGGTGTCTGTCCACATAAATAAGCTAGAAGTTATAAGATATATTAATTTTAGAAATAAGCAAATGAATTCAATATGCATATGCCCATACTTGATTTGTTTAATACATGAATACCAACAATTATTTGATTTATCTCAAATCATCTCCCAAATCGAATTTGAGGAATATTTACAAATAATAGCCGAACTATTTGATGAGCAGTGATATCTGGATCAACAAATATAAACCTGAAGGCACATGAATCATGAAATTCTATCTACATTTTAAATGTAATCTACATCTTAAATGTAGCACTACTAGCATGAGAATAGGTTCCTATAATCTTACCCCTGGACCCTTTAACTTGTTCTTAGTAAGATAATGATCCAGAGCACCATCCCCACGAAGGATTTTAGCCCCACGACCTGGCTTATCTCCTGAGCCAATAGCCTCCTCATCCACCACAACTGCATCTACTCTCTCATCTCCTGTCTTCACATCTGGAATCTGAGAGAAAGAGCACCATTAGATATATCAATGGCAGGATGCTAGGAGGAAGGTTAAGGAGTTTCAAATAATGATACCTCATACATAGCCTCTGTAAGAACATTTTCCAAGATAGCCCTTAAACCCCGTGCGCCAGTATTTTTGGCTATTGCCTTTTGCGCAATTTGCCTAAGTGCATCTTCTGTAAAGTGTAGTTTAACCTGAAAGAAGCTCAAGGGTTAAGCTAGCAAAACTATTTGCTTAAGGAATGGTTGGCTGCAGAACAGGAGGATCTACATTGTTCATGCTGAACAGTTTCTTGTATTGCTTCCCAAGAGCATTCTTTGGTTCGGTGAGGACCTGAAATAGGAACAGGGAATCTTTAATCACAATAAAGACAAGAAGAACAGGGATAAATAAATATTTACATAGTAGAAAACCAAATTGGTTCTCAGATACTAGGCTAAAATTCTACGGGAAAAGGGAATTAGTCATTTTGACCCCCACTTCCCACCCCAAAAACAAAAAGAAAAAGGACCTTTACATTTTGAGCCCAAATTCAAGCTATGCCTGGCTAAATATAATACCAGAAATAACATATTTCAAATTGAACTACGACAACCAGTATTGACCAACATTTTGCAGCATTCTAACTGATATACCCATTCCCCCAAATACCTTCTCAACAGAAACATATGAATAATAGAAAGGAAAAAAAACACTATTACATCACGTAACTAGAAAACTCTGGATGCCAAGAAGCAAGTTCAAAAGCACTTTTTCTAATACACACTGATAATGGAAAACTTATGATGACAAGAAGAAAAAGTGAGATACTTTTGTCTAGTACATACCTGCACAAGTTGGTCTTCATTTAAGGCGGACAAACTAACTAATATAGGAAATCGCCCAATAAATTCTGGAATGAGGCCGTAGGAGATAAGATCCCCACTTTCAACCTGTCAATATCACATAAAACTCTTACATTGCAGCTGTAAAAGGAATAAGGAAAACTTCCAGATGCTTTGCAGGAACACAAACAAAATGATAATGATATAAAGGGTGCAAGTAATCGGCTATATACAGCAGACTATAATAATGATGCTTACTGATTCCAACAAGGATGATGTCACTACAGCGTTCGTTAACCCACCCGTTCTCATATTTGCTCGTACTGGTGCTCCAAAACCTATAGAAGAATCTTGTCGTCTGTTGCACATTGATAAGTGAGAACAAGCCCCAAATTTCAGGTGAAAACAGACTAGTAGATTGCAAGAAGCTAAGACCACACCTTTCTGAAATAGTCTTTTCCAGATCAATAAATGCACCGCCACAAATAAAAAGAATATCTTTCGTGTCTATCTGCAAATAAACACAGGCATTAGTTATAGGTTCTTCCATCATCTTACATTTTTGTTTAAAGAAAACAAAGAAACATTTCTAAAATGACCAGTTAAAACATATCAGCAACAATATGAGATGCCTCTCCCAAGACAGCATGCATGTCCCGTGCCCAACACTTGCAACTGGTCAACAATTGCCTAATTTAAACTTACCAACGAGATGGAATACGTTAAGCCTACGCATCTTCTGAAGAAATCTAATTATTCAAGTATAATTTTGCTAATACTGGGTATTACCAACCTCTATAGGAACTTTTAAACCAATTCATAGACTTGCGCGTGTGGATTAAAAGTCTTCAAAGGTGAGAGCTAGATCTCTTAGCTTCTGAATGCCTTTGAAGTTAAATGACCCCAATAGAAATCTAAAAGCCAATTTATCTGACTTGAGAGTGGGAAATTTAGACAAATGATTGTAGATGAAAGCAGAGAAGAGGCGTTACTTTGAGGAAAGAAAAAAAAAGGAAGCAGAGGGCTATGATACAGGCTGGAGAGAGGGAGGATGAAGAAAATTTGTCCAAGCAAGCCACACTTCAAAGATGTATGAATGATTTAC